GGCGGCACGTGCGGGCTTGCGCCGCGGGCCGTATCGACCGGGACGGCCGCTATGCTGGGACCTTCCTTCCCTTCCTGGCTCTCTGCTCCCAGTTCACGATGATGGATGGAGACATGGGAGCCCTTAGCCTGGGCTTTGGGTTCTCCGTTGCATGTTCCGGCTGGTCTGTTTGAGCCTGACCCTGTCTGATCTCAGCACACACAGGGCAGAGTGGAGGCTGCCTCAGGGGTTCTGGATTGCTTCTCTTTTCCAAGGAGGCTGCTCCTAATAACCTCTCTCTCGGTGCCCTTGTCCCTGCAGCCATGGGGACACGGCGGTGCAGGTGGAGTCCATGGTCAGGAGAGCGCTGCAGGCCTCCAACACCAGCTACGTGCTCCTGCAGAGCCTGCTGGAGGACAGCGTGACGCTGGAGACGCAGCACGAGCTGGAGGCCAGGTGAGGGGCTGGTGGTGGGCCTGTGGGCTGGCAGCCAGGAGGGCTGGTAGGGCACCGGGACCCCGTTACAGAAACAGCTCACAGTGGTTCTGCAGAGTCGGCTGCCTGGTAAAGATGTGACCGAGTCCTGCCAAACTCATTATGCTGCAGTGCTGCAAAGCAGAGAGCCATGCTGCTCCGTGCCAGGAGTGTCTCTGGCTCTCTTCCCCAGCAGTTTTCCTCTACATCTGTGTCCAGGGCCAAGTCCCATGCCGTCATCTCCTCCAGCCCTTGGGGCACTGCAGAGCCCCAGGTGAATGTGGCGTCCTGTCCGTGCAGGTACAAGGAAATCCAGCGGGCGCAGGAGGAGCTGGGCGCTGGCATGCTGGAGGTGGCAGCGGAGGCCAAGAGAGCTTTCACAGCCGTCCACCAGGCAAACGCGGACATGGCCAAGAAACTGCTGCCAGCAGCTGCTCTGGGCCAGGTGAGCGGTGTTCAGCTCTCTGCAGCGTTCAGCTGCTGGCACCCACCAGCCCTGACCGGGGGGGTCCTTATTCCACGCAGCCCTTGGCATCACCCCACAAAGTGTCCCATCTTCATGGACGCCCCTTGGACTGGAAGGGGAGTTTGGCAGGGTTGTCCCTGGGGTGGCCAAGGGCAGGGGGCTGTGTCCCTACGTGCCCCACGCTGCCTACGGAGGTTCTCGCTTCCCTGCTGGATGAGCGAGAGCTAGTGCCCTGCTTGCGTCCCTCTGTGCTTTACCCGCGGGGCCACGCTCCCTCCCAGGGCTGGGGGATGCCCTGAGGGAGCCTTTTGCATCTCTGACCCTGCAGCAGGCGCTGCTGGCACGGGCTGAGACCCTGATGCAGGACCTGGCGGCGTTGGAGCAGGCAGCAAAGGCCAGGGAGCCGTCGGCCC